CCTAAACTTTCTATCGCGCACGCCCCGCCCCTGTGCATTGAGTGTGGTCTTGCCACCCACCGTAAGTGTTCTCATCCTGTTCCCCGTACTCCTACCAAGTTTGAACGCTTTAGGTCCACGGGGGCAGGAGTTATGAGTTTCAGGTCAGACACACACACCGACACACACACAAACACACCGACGAACCGACAGACACACTTAGCGAATTGCATATAATAGGATGTTTGTGACCCCTCAAGGTGTTGTGTTTTCTCTACATTCAGATATCACTTGCAACGAAACCAATCCGACCACCAAAATATGTCAATTGGCAGGAGGGGCTATGGAATTTCATAATGGCATATCAACAGTTGTGAACAATAATAAAAACTATTAAGTTTCCGGGATTCATCAGGTTGGTCAGCCGAAGTGAAGGCGCTGTGCCAGTGAAGCTAACAAAGGAATGAGCCAGATGTATGTGTCGTATGTATGTGCCGTAATATGTGGTGTCGCTTACGCTCTGTGCTGTATAAATTCGAAACAAAGTGGATGGTTAACCGTTAGGTTCTTTTTCTCCTCACGGCTGAAGGTAATTTCTTTGTGGGTTATTAGACAGAATTAGAAGGGTAGAGAATGATTAAGCAAATTTCACATTCTTCATAGGAAAACATAGTACCATGCCAGTAACGATCGAAGCCACAATGTCGAAGCATTCGTCCCATTAACCTACCCACCAACTTACTGCTTCATATACATAACCTACCCACCAACTTACTGCTTCATATACATAAGGAAGGAAATGTGGGATAAGCTCAAAGTCATCATATCGAAGCATTCGCTTCTCCAAGCACTCCATTCACCTACCCACCAATTCACTGCTTCACCAAAAGAAGGAAGTGTAGGATAGAGCTAGGTTCTCCGTATCACTACCTTTATCGTAATCATACTTCTCGGACGGACAAACATACAAACCGACAAACCGACAAACCTACAAACCGACACACCAAGTTACTGCTTTATAAATAAGAAGGATTGAGAAAACATCCCGGTAATGATCGGTTGCAGTTATTACCTTCCCTACAGTTATTACTATACTCCTAGTATACTATACTATACTCTACCGGCTACACTAATGGCGAGCTGCCGCAGAATTCCAAGTTTTTTGACTTGCAGTAGAAAAAGAAATTGAAGAATACTGGAAGCAAATGACAAGCCTGATTAAAGGAGCAGCCGGCGATCGCTTTCCAAAACGGATCAATGGTGAAGCTTCCGGATCTCTTCCAAATCTAGGATAAATCACGTTGAATGAAGTTTTCTTTTAGCGATCAAGTGCTGTTACTAATAGAATCTTGTTTATGGGCAGAATGTCGACTATGGCGAAGAAGGCGAATCCGAGTGATGGAAGTAGAGCATACCGAATAAGAGGTGCACTATCCGGTGCCCGCTTGCCGAAACGAATCAAAGGATGTGCTTCTGGAGCTCGACCAAATCTGGAAGACTGTCTATGGTAGGAGGAGCGCAAAGCAGAGAGTAGCTAGAATAAGCCTAAAATTAATGAAGATAAATAAACATTACCTGATGAGAGGTGCGCCGCTTAAATCCCTTTTGCCGAATCGAATCAACGGACTGGCGTTTTCCTAAAGGGAACTACTACTGGAATCTATGGCTGGATTCAAAACAGGGAGTTCCGAGTATGAATTGAGAAAAAATGTGTACAAAAATACTTGCGTTATATTGCCTCATTGAAATGAGGGAGTAACGAAAAAAGAACGTGAGACTTAGACTTGTATCAATTCTTTTAATGCACTTGCTTTCAAAGTTGCCACGTTGGTAGAGCAGTTATTGATCGCATTCAATGCTTAACTTAAAAAAAAATCAGTCTCACCTCAAAGGAACGGCTTTCACGGGACAACGTATCAACTCGTTTGTCCATTGCATCTGGAATCCGCACTTTTTAGTAAATACCAGTGTTCTTCTACAGATACGAAAAAGTGGCGTGAGGTGAGATGAGTCAATAAACTGTCTAATCGTCTCCCCTTCTTGTGTTCATAGTATTGTACTTCAAAGCCGCAGTTTACAATGCTTTGAAGAAACAGAAATGGTCGTTAGTTTTTACTAGTGTCGTTATCTGATGTGACTCACACTCAGTTTTGGGTTTCATTCAACACAGGTGTCCCTTACCAATTTATTTAGTTGCTCTTAGGCAGAGGAGCTTAGTTATGATTATATGTTTAATCACGCCATAATTGGATATCAACCACTATCGATTGATGGGAATTCTCTGGGCGATGTGTGCACTTAAATATAAGTGCTATCAGTTGAATCACGCCAATATACTTTTTGAGCTTCCTACTTCTCACTTTCCATATAACTACCTTAAGATACGGGCATATGGGCAGACCGACTATCTCACATACCAGATAATTGCTTTAATAATCAGATCTTGTTGTTGTCAAACAGAGGACTGGTGTTCTCCATAAAAAACGCATTTCGAAGTGATTCAAGAAGCATGAGAGACTTAGCAGGCTTTGAGCACTTGACTGTAGTCGAAGTGGCTCCCGTCGTGTGCCTCCGGGTAAAGGCTGACATCTGCTATTTGGGGTCTGGAGAATCACTGATCAGTAATAAAGAAAGGGCTCTATGCCATTCGATCGCAAATGCAGTAGGCACAACGGTTCCCAAAAGTTAATCGAGTTGATAAATGAAGAGTTTCACAACTCATACTAACCTTTTACCATTTCTGTAACACGCAGGGGTATGATAGCCATACTTGGTCCGGACTAATCTTCTGGTATTTGCTCATCACATCATATGCGTGGGTGTGGGGGAGTAGTTGTCTCATACACACGCGCACATAGTGCCACAAAAGCACATTATTGAGGCTCATTAGGCTTCACTGAAAAAACGAGGATGCCAGAAAAGGCAAGCCATAATGCAATCTGTTTGAATTAATCGTAACTCCTAGCAAAACCGTAGATGAGAAGGTGGAATTTCGGATGTCCTTCTTTTTTTCAATTTTAGGTTCTCTAAAAGAGGTGGCAAATATTTCGGGCCCTTATTATTTTGCTAATGCTGCGATAGCCGTCATGCTGAATCTTTATGAAAATCTCGAGCCCGCGGCTGTTTTCGAGTGAACAACGATTATAAGCAGGGAGTTTCACAGTAAACACGTAAACAAAGTTACGCCACTTATGCTGTTATCGATCCTCATTACATCAGCATTAATATAAACGCGAATATCTAGAGTTTGCTATGGACACGCTGAATATGAATAGCAAGAGGTGCCGCTGCTCCATGAACTAGCTAAAGGTGGAATCCGAGCAGGAACAATCCAGGGTTAATGAACAGAGGGTCGCTATCAGGCACATTGCTCAGCCAACTACATGAGAGTGAACGTCGTTGTTGACTGCATGTAGAGACCACTTACGCTCTGAAATATTCGTTGATTCTTACTTAAAGGAGGAATGTATATGGTCCAAGCGGTCTGACTGCAACGCTATTCGTTGTATGCCATTTTGGAGATACTACGGATAACTATTGCCTCGGAACACGTTCCTCGGAATTGCCTCAGCGAGGTATAGCTACGGCAATCCTATTGTTTGGCGATTTTCATGGATATGGAGCGGTTACTGCTTCGATATTTCACGTTTTCCCAGTCCAGTTAATAATTAAGTATTATTGGTCCTCTCAACAGTTTAGTAGTTGTTCCATTACAGGACGAAATCCTACAGCATCCATGATCTCACGCTAAAACGCTCACATGCCAGTTGACTTCAAAAAAACATAACTGCTGAGCAGTCAACTAGAGGCTATGAATGGGCGTCATTAAAGGCTAGAAAATGGTCTGAAATATGGATGAATTCAATGATTGGTGGGATTGTTTGAAGAGAGGTAAGTACTTTAGGTCTCCCCTTTCGAAAAGGCGTTTTTTGAAACAAAGCCATGAATATCGGCTTAACAATTTAGTTATTCGAGGAAGTGGCACATTCGAAGAGAGTTGTTAAGCCGAGTACGCAACTCGGCTTTGATTTTAAGTGGGCTCGAAATTTTACTAATTGTGTGGATTTCCTCTCTTATACCAAGAAGCTGATTGGAAGCTGATTTGAATTACGTTATCATCAGTGAATCCTTTATCTCCGAACGGGTGTTGAAAAACAATTCAGGCGACCAGTATATCTTAGAGGAAAGAGCTGTGCTGAAAGATTTCTCAAACGAGGAAACCTTTCGAAATGACCATGAGTGGGTGCTGAAGAAAGTTATGATTACTTACGAAGGTGGCATTGTGGCAAGTGGCGCACTATCACACAAAGAATCAGGAACGGGTCCTAAATCTGTTTTCTCTTAGCCTTTTCTCACGGGATTGGCTTGCAATGACCAGACATTATGGGCCCTGTACGCGTTCAATGAGCCACTACGATAATAGATGGAAGCCGAATACCCCGCTACAAGAAAAGCACTGATTGATGGCAAATTCATTGCTCTCAAAACTGTTATTGCTTATGAATACTGTTCCACAAATGAGTTTGTAAACTTACATTCATCTTCAAGCATTCGCAACTCGGATGAATCGTATGCGACTGCTAGAGAAACAGCCAGCAACAGAACAACCGTCCGCAGCATTAGCCGAGTTTGAATTCTATAAGAAATGATTTAATATTATTTGAATGCAACATAGAATGTTTTAACTGTCTTCGACAAACTTCATTATAGACGGAAACAGCTAATTCATTCACGTGTTTTCTTCCGCGCATAAGCGGAAAAGAAGAAAAGGAAATTGGGAACCGTATTGATAGAATCTAACACTGAAAGAAATTTCTGAAAGAGAGAGCAATCGTTGGTAATCCGGGCGAACGTAACGCTATTCTCGATTTGTTTCATTTTTATTGCTATTTTCGCGGAAGTCATCTGCAAGCAAAACCTTGACAATAAAATCGCTCGAAGTGTGTGAGTCGGAAATTGCAAAAAGCGCTGCTATTTCATGTATCGCTATTCGGAAGGTTTTCTAATCTTTCACCTCTTTTATTAAGTAAACGTGAGAACAAATGTGAGAATAGGAAAAGAAATCAGGAAAAACCTAATGGGAGTGGCAAAGACCGTACTCATGTGTGTACTTACACCATGAACCGCTCAAATAAAAAGAAAAACGACAGTGATGATTTCAAAAAAAAANAAAAAAAAAGAAGGGGAGCAGATGAAAATGAAGCAAAACGTAGAGAAATTGAAAACAGTGGAGAAAAAAATTTCATGGGCACATTTACATGCGCTAAAAATGAAGTCATGCAACATCGGATAGTGAACACAGCAAATAAACTTCTTATTACAGGTCAATTCGCTTCTTGAACAAGCCGTAAACTTCACTTATAGACAAAATCGATGTGGCTTTCAAATGTGTGACTGGTGAAGTCAAAGATCATCGAATATCAATTCTGCGAGACAGCAAAGTATCTGTCCAAACAAATCTGATAATAATTTAATTATCTGATTCTAAAAAGGATTTTCTCCTTGGACCTTAATGCGGCAGAGGCGCCATTTCGCGCCTTTTTTCGCTTCTTTCCTTTCAATGGTGCCATTAAAGACAGAAGTTCAGTAAAAAAATAGAATTAGGGGAGAAACTTCTCGTCCCTAATCTTAAGAGCTAGAGGGCAGGGAGAGACCGGTAGCCGACTTCACGAGCCCTCAACGGCGCTTGAAAACGTTGCTTATGTTGGGAGTTTATTTATTTCTTTATTTATTTATTTACAGCTACCACGTTAAGTGGTCTTAAAACCGAGTGGACACAAATTGCTGGCAGTAAGTGGGAAAAAGTACAAATGAATAAATAAATAAATTAATTAATCTATGCATGTAAACGGATACCGACAGATCTCCTTCACTGAGGGTCTCGCTCATTGAGGATCCCAGACGGTTAGCGATAAAGCTACGTAGGGTACGTAGGGCGTCCCCCATGTGGCGGAGAGGGGAGTAAATCGCCGACCAGAAGTCGCCAGTATTTGCCCAAAGACGCAGGTGGATTCAGGGGATGGACTACATGATTTTAATGTGCTGGTCGATACTGCTCATGTATCGCAGGTGTACCCATGGGTACGAGAGCGGATAGTACGGGTGCAGTTAATACCCTGCCCATCCACTCAGCCAAAAGCTTGCATACGAGTGACTGGGAAGTATGCGGGATGCGACTCGGGTCCACTTGCAAAATAAGAGCCCCTCGTTCACTCTGGGATAGTCGGGCTAGTTATCAGGAGTCAATCCAGCCCCTATTAAGGCAAGCTGGCCTGGCAAGCTACTCGCGTCTATCCATATCCATGATAGGGGCAGAAACACAAATGGGTCTCATTCTCCTGAACCTAACGGAGACTCCAATACGGCAGTGTTAGGTAGGACCGCTCGAAAGAGGCTGCTTAAATCTCGGGGCCTAAATGACTGCCCAAAAGGAGAGGGTCTAGGATGGCGATTGGTGCTTTCAACACACGGACACTTGCATCGTAGGCGTGCATAGAAGATCTGATGATGGAAGCTAAGGATATCATGTACGACGTCATCGGATTGATCGAGACGAGAGAAGAGAAGTGTCCTTGTCAGCACGCACTTGGCCATGTACATCGATTTGTACGAAAGTTTGACAACCCGAATCGAACACTTGCGATTAGGGATGCGTGGCCAAACTCCAGTTCTAACAATATTCGCTGCCTGCGCACCAACATCAAGCTACGAAGAAGAGGAGTCGGAGGCGTTCTATATGGATCTGGTATTTATCTGGAGAGGCTCACCAGAGAAGACCATACTTTCTTCAGGGTCATCGTCGATGATTTCAACGCCAAGATTGGCTACAGAAGAACGGCCGAAGAGCTCCACATCGGTACTCATGGAATGGGATGGAATGAGCAGGGTGGAAGGCTGCACGAGCTTGTCATGTCTACCCACATCAAATGTGGTAACTCGCATTCCCAGAAGCCCTCTCATTTGCGACAGACATGAGAGCCACCTGGTGGACTGTTCCATAATGAATAGACCTCATAATCTTCAATTGAAGATTTCGCTTGACTGATGTCGCTGTTGTTCCGAAATCCACACGGGATCGGACCATCGTCTCTAGATTCCACACTTAAACTCACTAGATTCTGCTTCTCAGTGCGTGGACGGAGAGCTATGAAGCCCAAGGAACGAAGCCTCAAGACCTTCACGACTGAGACCACTTCGCTTCCGTTGCGAGGGAAAGGGAAGATTCCGCTAACGACAAGATTGATGAAGATGAAGAACGCAACCGGCTCGTCGATCATTTCCACGATAGTGCTAGGGAAGCAGAAAGTCTACGAGCAGCCAAAAAATTCTTGAGCTGATACGCCAGCTTGGAATCACGCGAGTTGCAGGCAATCATATAAAAACGACCGAACTTGCGAAGCCATGTAGAGAAGCGATAAAGGAGATCTGGAAGAGAGAAGAGCAGCAGTTATGAACGAAGCCGCCGAGGCTGGGAAGACTGAAGGAGTTCCGCCAAATACAAGAGCAAGATGACTTCCCTTCGGCGTCCAGACTAAAGAGTTACCGCATGTCGGAGGACATTGGAGATAGTCAACTTCGACTTCCACTCGGATCTCATCAACAGCCACGTCTACCTGCCTACTCGCCATCTTAGGTAAGGCGAACTTGTGGTTCTCTCTTCCGAAATTCGACATGCCATCACGTCAATGAAGAATTGTATGGCGCTCGGCCCGATGGCATCTTTCATAGTCCACGACCGGTCGCGCGACTGATCGCGTGACCGGTCGCTAGCGACTGGCGACCAGTCGCGCGATCAGTCGCGCGACCGGTCGCGCGACTGGTCGCGGACCCATCTCACGAGCGACCGGCGACCGGTCGCNGCGACCAGTCGCGCGATCGATCGCGCGACTGGTCGCGCGACCGGTCGTGGACTATGAAAGATGCCGATAGGATCAAACTAGAACATCTGAAGAGTCTTCCACCAGTTATCGTAAGAACTCTGGCTAGGCTTTTCACGCGGTATCTGTCGGAACGCAAAGTGCCCACGTCGTGGAAAAGTAGCAATACTGTGTTGCTGTATAAAAAAGGAGATCCAGACGATATTGGCAATTATCGCCCAATCTGCCTGCTGTCTGTGATCTACAAGCTTTCCACTCGTGTCATCCTGAACAGGATTGGCAGAATAATAGACGAAGGACAGCCATGCGAGTAAGCAGGGTTTCGGAAGGGTTCAGCACAATAGCTCATATCCACACTCCTACAAGGCTCATTGAAGTATGACGAAACTACAAAATGCCGTTGCCTTATCTTCATCGATTTGAAGAAAGCTTTCGACACCGTTGAGACAAAAGCGGTAACTGAAGCCCTGGGCAACCAGGGTGTTCCTACTCAATATTATAAAGATGCTTCGTGAGCTCTACGACAACTTCACGACCAGGATTTCACCATTCTACAAGGAAGTCATTGTCAACGTGAAGAGGTGTCCGGCAAGACGATACCATCTCGCCCAAAGTTTTCAGTGCCGCTCTCGAGAACATCATGCCTCATATGAAATGGGAAAGCATGGGAGTGAAGGTCGACGGCCGCTATGTACATCCCTTCCGCTTCAGACGACTTCGTGCTTATAACACCGATTATCGAGCGGGCGGAACGAATGCTGGCCGAGTTTGACAGTGCTTGTGGAAACATCGGCTTACAACTGATGAGAACGAAGACGATGTTTATGAGAAACGGAATGGTTCATGGTGTTATTTTCACGCTGAACGTACAAATATCTCTGAATGCTCTAGCTACGTCTGTCTAGGTCGGGAAGTCAACATAATGAACGATCTAGCTCCGGAGCTGAGCAGAAGGAAACGCACTGCATTGAAACGCATGGGGAGCATTCAAGAATATTGAGAGAGTAGTGAAGAAGACAATGAACATCCTTTTCTGAAGGTGAGCGGGGAGCTCTGAAGGAGAGGAACGGAAGATGCTCGGTTTCCCTATACACGCAAGTGCAGAAGGGAGTCCGTGGTTCCGAGCTCCGTCATCGGACAGAGTTTAGGAATGCCGTCAATTATACCAAGAAATGGAAGCTCAGGTGGGCCGGACACGTTATATAGTGGCAACCGTTGGACCAGGGCGGTTACTGACTGGATCCCTCGGGGCGACAAGCGAACACCAGGACGGCCGCCATGGAGATGATTAGACTTCTTCATGAAAGCTCTGAACGAAAGGAATGCTGGGCCTCGTTCCCCTGAAGCGAGGACGATTCACTGAACCACTTTAGCTCGTGTCAGGGATGAATGGAGACATTACTGATGCCCGCTCGAAGAAATCGACGATCAAACGGACGACAGGTGACACAGGTGACAGGTGATATATGGATACAAAGAGGGAATCACACAATAAAATAAACAGTAAGCTGAAAAATCTATGAATCCCTCAACAGGCTGCTTCGATTGATTAATACAGTCAATTTTTTATCTAAGCCTTCAATTGAACGAGTGGAGAAGAGAAGGTGAGCGAATTAGTGTTCAATTCTTATTAAAACCAAACTTTTGCACGAAGTATATTTCACCCACCGGACGCCTCTACCCTTCTAAAGCTCAGGTGAGGAAGCATCGTCTCTGAGCATGATCAATGTCGACTATCGCTCCTTCTCCATACCCTAGCGCTAAGTGTTAGGGAAGAAAGGTGTCACCGCTTTTATCTCCCTTCCAATAGCAATCGAAAAACCGCTGAATATAGAAGATCTGGCTCGCCTAGCTGGGTATCAAGGCGGGATTCAAACTACGGCTCATGTGTGTGATAGTGCGTCACAGTACAGTGGCAGTACTTCAGGCATTATATCCCCAAATCATTGGCCATAAATCCAGTCACTTACCTAGTCTCTATATAGTTGCCCGATTTGTCTAAAGGTGCCCGCAATTCTCTTGCCCGTTTAAGCAAAATGCTATACAGAATTCGCTGATGGGAAGCTCTAACACCAGCAGGGATATGGAAAATCATTGTGATCCGTTTTTAAGGAAAACAAAACAGCCTGTAGAAGTATAATATGGAAAAGGTGGGATAAGTTAATTGTAGCATAGAACTCAACGATCCAAACTAATAGACTGCTAGGCTTAGTGATAAGAGTTGGTTTAACATATATAAAAAATGAAGAACAGAGGAGTGGGGAATTCTGCAACTCGAATTCCTCTATTTAACAAGTTCCGACAATTTCCAGAAAAAAAAAGCGAAGCGCACAAGGATCCATTGTAAAAGAGCTTTGTTTGGAGCCGATAGGCAGACGATGGGTCACTTCGAGTACTTTCCATACCGAGGGGCAAATTATCGTTGGGGTCATTCGCCAAACCATGAGGGAAGAAGTTGAAAAGAAAAAGAAGGGAAGAATGTGTTCCTTCGGCGGTTGTGGGCAGTAGAAGACACACAGGCATAGACGCTCTCACGTCTTTCGGGAAATAGAACAATTTATAGAAACTTTCGCTGGCTCTCATGAGTAAACAGAATGACTGCCCAATCTTTCGCAAAACTGCAAGAAGGAATCCCGTATTAACCGTTGAAAAGAAATAGGATCACTGTATATTGGTAATGAAATAGCTGAATGATCGTCTACAAACTTTCAGCAATGGCACTACATACCTTCATAGCCAGCCTACAACGGAGTGACTATAAAACTGCGAAACACCTCTCGCGACTCCTCGCTCATTTGCCATACAATTCTTTTTGTGGATTACTGTACATGTATTGCAAGTGGGAGGACCAATGTTATTGAATCCCTCTGATATGCACCCTACATCGGGTATCACAATACTTGAATTCGGTAATTTGTTTCATACAGTGATCAAGGAAGTTTGTGCTTTGCCCCAAGCAAGTCATATGGGTGAGAACTTATTTTGAAATGATGAAAGTTGCTGATAACTGGAGCTGTTTTGGTTTGAAGCACCGAGAGAATGTGCACCCACACCCATACCCCATTTAAAAAATCGCTGAACAATACCCTTCTAAAAATGTTCAGTAGATTATGGCAACACGATCAAAAAGGTACAGTGGATTGTAGCAACACGGGTATAAAAGTGATTTGCTTATTCATAGGTCCCTACGGATTGTTGTATAAGACAAATAACTCGAAATGTGGTGATGCCATTTTCGAGTTAAATTTGCAATATTCAATGATGTAAGGGGTCGTTGTTACTCAGTTCCTTCTTTGGAAGTTACTTCTTCAGAGTAATCTGTTACGCCGGTCACGAATGAGTTTAATTTAGCCATCTCAGTACGCCGAAGCTCTACATTGTTAAGTAGAATCAGCTATATACTTATACTATTGTGAAGCTTACATGTTCAGTATTCCATTTTATATATTCAAAAGGTTTGTTGCTGCCTTCAAATCTGAATAAGTCATGGGACAAAATTGGGAACGGTCAACACTGAACGAAGTAAATATCTCAAGAAAGAAGGTAGGACTGAACCAAAGGCCGAGTTCATGAAGAATTTTTGGGCTGAGAAAGTGGAAGTAAGTAAAGAATGCGCTTGCCAAGAAAAGGTATAAGAGGCTTTGGAGCGTCCATGATACGTCTTCTATAATCCGAGTTGGAAAAACTAATCCTAGCGTTTACCTGAAGCTATTGATTCTGAATGTCAAAGCAATTGCGAAAATATTCTACTGTAAATAGGATATTAGCATTTCTATTGATTCTGAACAATGCAGCGATTACAAAACTATTTGCTTTTGATAGAATGTTGACTGACATCGATTGTTTACAATCGCAAAACGCCATTAGAGGCTACTGTTTGGTACTCACTTGATAGGGCACACGAACTGGCTATTACACACGATTCGGTATTTCGAAGGTCTGTAGCTGCGTACAAATTTGAATAAGTTATGGGGTAACATTGGGAATGGCCAACACTGAACGAACTATTCCAAGAAAGAAGTTACGAATGAACCAAAGGCACAGCTCATGAAGAATGCTTTGGATGAGAAAGTGGAAGTATGTAAAGACACTGCTAGCCAAAAAAGGGTAAAAGAGGCTTTGAAGCGTCCGTGATATGTCTTATATAATCGATCTGCTTGATAAGATCTCTTAAGCCTTTTATTCTTTGAGTTATGTCTACTTTTTAATAGTACACAATGTAAGCCATAACATGAAACGGACATACTGGTACACCACCAAATATTGGGCTTACTTAATGTTGTAACCAGATTGTTGATTTTGAAGCCGTAAATTCTCGTGCCTATAGAGGAGGCTTACCTAAAACTGCCCTCCAGCCACACGATTCGAAATAAGCCTATCGTTTGAGTGATCCCTACTCTGAAGAGCTCTCTTCAACAACAGATGACCAACCTACGGAGTGAGCCAGAAGCAACTCCGCTTCTCCCTGCAAAAGCAGAGCTTCCACCCTTATCCAAAAGAGTTTTCTCGCATAAAAGATCAGTTACGCGTAAATTTAATGTCATCGTAAGGTATAACGTTGGAACAATAGTTTCACGTCTTAATGATGCCTACAGAACACCAGAATCGAGAACGATTTCCCGAGTCTGATTCAACTAGTGACAGCTGCGTTCTGGATGTGGGTGTGGCTTGTTGCTGTAAGCCATCAGAAAAGGAAAATTGGATCAAATGCAATGGTAATGACAACATTACTGAATGGTGTTGTCCTCAAAGAGAACTAGCCTATGATTTATTAGGGCAATATTCAGATCCTTTCAGACATTTCAGAACCATCTTCGATGTAACAATTATAAAGACTTCCCAAACACTGACGACCACCCCCTCCCCACACCCCTAACCATTAGTTCCGCATACTAGCGCTGCATTCACGAAGTCGAGAAATTCGGATCTGTGGTTACAGGATTAATCAATACTGCATGTTTAGTTCCATTTACTAATGTGAATATAAACTACGCTGAGACAGTAGGGGTGGGTTTTCGAGTTGCCGAAACAATCATGATTTAGTAGCTTGTGACATGCATATGTGTTCCCACTGAAGGATCATTTTCAAGAATTCCGTTTTGAAAGATGCAACAGAAAAGCCTCCACGAGTAGAAGCAATAGGTTAAGGCGTAAGTCTTGGGAGTACTAATTTACATGTATTGCTGTTTACCTTCAGGAATTTCCGTCGCCATTAGATCATCACCACATTGAAGATCAATCTAGGGCTTTAACCAGTAATATTCAGATCGATTCCAAGGCACTTTTCGTCTCCTGCTCCTCTTGTAAACCTTGTCGCTATTGGAGGGAGATCAGATCCAAACAATCGTGTGCGACGGATGGCCGCAATTCTAGCACTCGCTTTCCTGATCACAACGTCAACACTGCATTCTGACAATGAGAGAACCTCGCCAATCATGCTACCGTCAATCGTTTACTCGCTCGCCTTCATTCTGTGGATACTATTCGACGACGACCCTCGTCTGGACGACCAGTTCCTATTGATGATGAAAGACGTTTCAAAGAAATGAAGAAGCGGTCGGGGGCTGCAAGCAGGGAATCGGCAAAGCTTTTCAATTTCGATTCGAGCAACGTCCTTTGGTATCCCCATGATTTTACTCAAAGGAAAGCTCTCGCTAGATTATAGCGCACCAAGTGCCTGACGAACTCGCACGTCAATCTCAATGGAACAGTCGCTCTTCCTTACCTCCAAACAAGAGGAGCTTTTGAAGGGTCTGGTGACGTCGACAAGAG